TGTTTACCGAGGGGAGGGTCCTATCCCTGGGGGAAGGGTCACTACCGAAGGGAGGTGTCTACCGACGGGAGGTGAGTACGCGAGCGGGCAAGGTGCCAAGTGTGTATCGAGCCGTATGTGGGTTCTTGACGTGATTCTGCGGGTTGTTAAAATGTAGAAGACGTACCGCGGAGCGCTTCAGCAAAAGTAGAATGCGTTGAGAGCGTTTTAAAAGGTTAAAATTATTAATTAGCAGTAGAGAAATCGTAGTGGGCCTATTGCTAGAGCTATAAACGTAGTATATTATCGTTACAAGTAAAGGCTAGGATTAGTATAGGGTTAGGATTTGGTTAGGGTTGGGATTACCGTTAGCCGAGGGTAGAGTGTTTACGGTTTAGGGTTTAGCGTGAAGAATTTAAGTATGGCTAGTGTTTAGGGTTAGGGTCCGACTTAGATTATATATTTATATTAGGGCCTAGTGTGTGTGCGTAGAGCATTTACACGGAATTTACAGAAAACTGTCGGCAATAATATATATATAGGTGAAAGAGAGTATAGAAACATTAAGAATTTTGTGGTACTAGTATTAGATTTCGTATTTATTTAGCATTATATTTTATTGAAACGCTTCAAGTGCCTGTGATGACACTATAGGTTGCTGGAAAGAGATCCATCTTCCTTCTTTATCTGTTTCCTGCTGGCCTTGAGGCCGGATGTCACAGCTCACTGACGCCCAGGGACGCGCATGAAATGCTGATTTCCTTTCACATACCACGATCCTGTTTAAAAACGTCCGCCGTATATATATATATATATATATACCTACGTATGTGCGTGCGTGCGTGCGTGCGTGCGTCCTTGTGTGTGTGCGCGCGTGTCTGTGTACGCGCGTGCATGCGTGTTTGCGTGTGTGCATGCGTCCTTGTGTGTGTGTGCGCGTGTGGTCTGTATGCGCGTGCATGCGTGCGTGCGTGCGCGCGTGCATGTTTGCGTACGTGCCTGTATGTATCGTACGGTGAGAGCAGGGGTTATTTAGTGGTACGTACACGACGAGGATGCTATATACACAGATTCATGCTTCTGTCATCGTTGCAGCTTGTAGCTTGTCGTCGAACAACTGTACGGCGATGAACGGCACGATCTACAACGGCACGTGCGTGACGGCAGACGACGTCGGCGATGACGTGTTCGCCACGCTCGGGAAGCCAAAGTCACCGAGCGAAGAATATTTCCAGTGAGTTGTAATACAACGAGAGAGTACATGCGGGAAAGAAGATGTGATAGAGGTTTGGGGCTGGGGTTAGGGGGTAGGGTTTGGGTTAGAGTTGAGGATAAGGTTAGGCTTAGAGTTAGGGTTGGGATTAGGGTTAGGGTTGGGGATAGGGTTAGGGTACGGGCAGAGTACGATAAGAAAGAGTGGTTTGAGAACGAGCAAGGGAATGGGGGGAAGCAGAGGTTATGTATGGAGAATGGTGAGCAAACGATGACGCAAGAAGCGGCTGAACGCAATAAAATGCAGCTACAGCATAATCTACGAAAGCGGCTGTAAAAAGAATACTACCCACTCACACGTATCACAGTGAATAGCTTCCCGCCAAGAGAGCAGTAGCAATAGATATAAATACCACGCCTCTGGCGTGTTACGTATCCTGGATGCTCTCCAAGCCGGCAGTCTATGCTTTACATCAATTACACCACAACCAGTTGTACTAGTGTACGCCATGAACACGAGCGTCGAATAGTAATAAGGTTTTATGAATCGATCCACATTAAACAGGACGATGCACGATGCAAGCGTGGCAATAATGATAATAGTAGTAGTAATAATAATAATAATAATAATAATAATAATAATAATAACAATCGTTCGGGAATTCTCGCACCCTCATCTATTTATCTTGTTCTTTTTCGTCCCCTCTATCTTTCCTTCTTGCGCCTTCTTCTATCTTTCATTTTCCGCCTCTCTCTTACCCCTTTCTGACTCTTCCTTCCACTTTCTACTTTTTTCTTTCTTTTACTCGTCCGTTTCTCCTCTCTTTCTATATTCCTTTTTTCTTGTCTCGCTCTTTGATTCACTTGCGCTCTTGCTCGCTCTCCCTCTGTTACGCGCTGTCTCCCTCACCTCTTTCTTTATAAATCTCTCTCTCTCTCTCTCTCTCTCTCTCTCTCGCTC